CCCCCGCCCCCTCGCCCCCAACCTCGCCTGGCTCCAGCCTTAACCCCTGACCGGCCGCGGCGGGGGCCTGAGCCGTCACTGCCCTCTGCCCTTCCTTGAGCCTTGCCAACATGTCTCTCCAAAGCCCTCCCTTCCACCCCTGGCCTTGGACGTTGTCGCTCGACCACACTCGAGGCGCCCCTCGGAACCCCGCTGCCCACGCATTCTCTGCAGTAGATCTAATAGGGGGCCAATTGCACCCGGCCGGCACGCCCAGGGCAAGACACACACCCCCAGGAGCATTTCTTTGCACAACTGCATGATGGATAGTGTTTGCCTCCACTTTCAGAGAATAGGCGCTTCAGATCCCCCCCTTCTCTGTTTGGGTTAGCACCTGGTGTCGGGAATCTTAAGAAGAGATGTTGTGATCTGAGGCGGGCTGCCCAAGGGGTGAGGTCAGGGGGCCCCTCTCCAAGATTCAGGCTCCTGGGGCTGGGAGCCCACTGGCCTGGTGCTGAGCGGCAAGAATGCCCACCACCCCTGCTGGGGCCTGCCCCCTTTCCGCTGTAATTTCCTTTTCTTTCTGTGCTACACAGAAAGGGCTTGGCCTAGAGGCCAGCTGGACTGCAGATGTCTTTTCCTGGCTCCCTGGAGCCTCCCAGCTGCCACCACCACCCCACCCAATCCACCAGACTTGGGGCTGAGGCCCTACCAGCATTTATTAAGCACCCTTTGTATGCAAGGCCTGACGTTTCCTGTAGGGAAAACCTGAGCCTCTGACTCTGGGCCAGTTAACTTTTAACAGGCTGGAAAAAGCCTTTCCTAAGGTGACCTTTCACCTCAGAGTCCCTCAGGCCTAATCACCCAGCCTGATCTCCCCACCAGCCCTGGGCCCAGAGCCAGACAACAGGACACGTGCCTGGGCCTCTTAAATTAAGAGTTTGGGGTCAGTACTGCAATGCTCTCTGCCTGTCTCCTCTTGTGGCTCTCCTCCCCAGATGAGACTCCAGTAGAGAATATACGCTGTCTGGAGCAGGGTGAGGGTGGGCAAATGTTTAGGAATCATGCTACACTTGAAGGGAAATTAAGCTTCAAGGAGAGCCAGGCACACCCAGCCAGAGGCCTCTTGACCTCCCCCCATGGAAGGTCTGGTTGAGAGGAAGAGGATACCTTAGTAAATACAGAAAGCAGTAAGGACTAGGATTAGACACAAGGAAGGACTTCCCATGGGTCTAACTGGAATAGGATTCCCCTCACAGACTGAAGCAAGCCTTTCTAGGGCAGAGTGGTCTGGGTGTTTAGAGAGACCCTTTGGTTCTGGGGCTGCTGGGAACGTAGCTGGTTATTTGGGGTGAGGACAGGGAATCTAGGCCCCTGGCCTAGATCTGCCAGAATCCTTAGTATGGGGGGCCAAGATCTCACTGGGGTGAGATCTCAGGGAAGGAATTAAATAGGGGGACTTAGAAGGGAGAGAGGGCTCTGGGAGGGAAAGGGAAGTATGAAGGGAAGGGTGCAGGGAACTGGGGTTTGTGAGAGGAGTCTAAGGGAGGGGACTTAAAAGGGGGGTGGCTGGGGCTGGGTGGAAGATGGGAGAGCTGGACCTCCACAGATCCCAGAACCTCCAAGTTGTTCTAGCAATCACCCCACTCCCTCCCAGTAGCCCTGCCACCCTGCACTGACTGGGGCCAGCATGGGGGGGTGGTTGACCTCAACTCCGCCCTTCTGACCCCTGCCCGCAGCCCCGAGGTGACATTTGACCTCCCAGCAGCCACAGACAGGGGACAAAGGGGCCTAGGCCCATCTGCTGCAGGGGGTAGGAGTAGGGGGGCAGGGGGGTGCCCGTGGGAACTGCCAGACTTTGCTCTGGCAGCCTGGGAACCTGCCCCTACACCCCCTCCTGCAGGTGACCTTGGCTCCCTTTGTCCCTCCTTGGGCAACGTGGTGGAACTGGGGGCTAAGGTCATTCTTAGACTCTTGGGGAGGGGGTACAAAAGGAAGGAAATTCAGCTTTTCTGCCCTCTGCCAAGGGGCAAAGTGGCCTCCTTAGTTTCCCTGCTTTCTTCAAAGCCAGAAGCTGGGTCCAGGGGGAGCTTGCAGGATCCAAAGGTCAGCAGCCCAAGCGATCACTTGGGAAGACTGTGTTCCCCTTCTTCATGTTCTACCTCTCCAGTCAGGAGGACCTGGGGGTTCCAGTCCAAGTCTACTGACCTCACCCCAGCATGGCCCTCGCTTGGGAGAGGGAGCCACCTGCGCACACCTGCACAGGTGCAGCCTGGAGTGCCCACCCATTCAGGCTGGGGACCAAAACCTTTCTAATCCCTGTCTTGGGTTTCAGCTTCTGCCCAGGAGGGGACAGCTGGTCACTAATCCCAGCCCAGGCCCCCCTCTCCTGATCCAGCCAGCTTGCCTCATTGCCAGGAGGGGTGGGAGGACAGCCTATGCTAATGACATGCTAATCAGTGCCTGCTATTAACCTGGTACAAACACTATCCACAGCTCCATCCACACAGGAGAAAGCACAACTTCTCAGGTTGGACAGAGTGGTCCAGGCCTCCTTGCCCACCACTGGCACATATACTGACTTTTTCTCAAAGTACAGTGCCACCAAGTTGCAGGTTTTTACCTTTGCTGGGCCTGTCCCCTACTGAAACTTTATCTGCTCTTTAGGAGCATGCTCTTGTCCACAGACAGAACCTGAACTTTTCTAGCCTTGGTGTCCCCTCTGGGATATGGGTATCTTCATCTTCAAGAACATCTGGCAGGGCTCGGCGCCTGTGGCTCAAGTGGCTAAGGTGCCAGCCACGTACACATAAGGTGGTAGGTTTGAATCCAGCCCAGGCCCGCCAAACAACTATCATGGCTGCAACCAAAAAAGAGCCAGGTATTGTGGTGGGCACCTGTGGTCCCAGCTACTTGGGAGGTGGAGGCAGGAGACTCGCTTGAGCCTAGGAGTTGGAGGTTGCTGTGAGCTGTGATACCACAGCACTCTACCTAGGGGACAGCTTGAGGCTCTGTCTCAAAAAATTAATTAATTAATTAATTTTTAAAAAAAAGAACATCCGGCTCGGCGCCTATAGCTCAACCGGCTAAGGCGCCAGCCACGTACACCTAGGGTGGCGGGTTCGAATCCCCAGCCCGGACCCGCC